CCCCAAAACCCCAAAACCCCAAAACCCCAAAACCCCGCATTATCTCTTAAAAATGGACTCAATTATATAAATTAATCAATAATTTTAGAAATAAATGGAAGGAAAGAAGAACAGGGTCGCATACTTTTATGACAACGAGATTGGCTCATTCTACTACGGAAATGACCATCCCATGAAGCCCTTTAGGATCAAGATGGCCCACCAGTTGATTGTGAACTATGGATTGTACAGAAAAATGAATGTGTATCAGCCACATAGAGCCACTCAAGCAGAGATGTTGAAATTCCATTCTTCAGAATACATTGATTACCTTAGGATGGTCATTCCTACGGTTGAAGAGAGCCATTTCAGTCTTGGCCAGAACGATTGTCCAGTTTTCGACGGACTCTATGACTTTTGCCAGATTTCAGCCGGAGGTTCAATTGGTAAGTGGGTTTCATGTTAATTTATTCTATAGACGCAGCATCTTTACTCAATGCCCAGGCTAGTGATATTTGCATCAACTGGGGAGGAGGCCTACATCATGCTAAAAAATGAGAAGCTAGTGGCTTCTGTTACGTCAATGACATCGTGCTTGGAATTCTTGAGCTCCTTAAATATCACGACAGAGTCCTCTATATCGACATCGATGTTCACCATGGAGATGGAGTAGAAGAGGCATTTTATCTCACAAATCGTGTCATGACTCTTTCATTCCATAAGTTTGGAGATTTCTTCCCTGGAACAGGCAGTATCAAGGATACAGGGGCAGAAATTGGCAAAAACTTTGCATTGAATGTTCCTCTCAAGAGTGGCATGACTGATGACAAATATGTCGACTTATTCAGAGTTATAACATCGAATGTGAGAGATAAATTCCAACCTTCAGCCGTTGTTCTCCAGTGAGGAGCAGACTCCCTTTCTTGGGATAGACTTGGTCCCTTCTGCCTTACAATCCAAGGACATGGTGAATGAGTGGATTACATTAAGTCTTGGAATGTTCCTCTCCTAGTAGTCGGAGGAGGTGGCTACACTGTCAAAAATGTTTCGAGATGTTGGACCTATGAAACTGCTGTATGACTAAACGAGCACAATAATATATCTGAATACCTCCCAGAGAACGACTACTATGAATACTATGCTCCAGATTATGAGCTTTTCATTTCTAAGAGAAACGAGCCTGATGATAATACCCCTGAATATCTAAACTATGTAACAACAAAGTGACTGAGCAATCTGAAAGAGCTAGAGGGTGCTCCAAATGTTCCCTTCATGGAGGTTCCACCTAACTTCTTTGACACAGAAGAACTAGAGAAGAAAATGAAATCAAACTCAGCTGCTCTCGATGATGATGAACAAGAGGATCTAAATCGTCAGAAAAGATACGAGGAGGAGAAGGAGGAAGAATAGCTTAATTTTAATTTCTTCAATTAGACGATAATAATTAGGGGTTTTGGGGTTTTGGGGTTTTGGGGTTTTGGGGTTTTGGGG